GACTTTCGTTTCTCGTATGTATTACGGCACACGACAAACGTAAGTGACACTTTATTCTTGATTCCTCCTTGACCCTTGACCAGTACTTTGGCTACTTGGCTGATGTTGCTATATTTGTGAGAGTTGATTAGCATATATGCAGCAAAGAATAGTGTTGCTTGATACGGTTCATTATACTTATTTTCTCAGACTCAAAACCCTCTTGTTCTTCCCCATAGAATGTATAGTCACTACAAAAAATAGTTATTTAGTGACACACGTTTAGTGGCGGTTTAGTATAACCGCCGCCAAATAAATGTTTTGCGACAATTATACTAACCGCCGCTATTTAAATGTTAAAACTTAGGTTATCTGCGGTTGCTTATAACCGCGGCTAAGGAAATACTTAATATTTTAGGCTTATGTTTAGTGGTAATTGATGCATCATGAATCGTGGCTACGGATTAAGTGTCAGACAAGCTCATTTCATCTCAATATATTTCTCCCTTTGAAACCTTTCTAGATCTCTCTTCTCATAGCTCTTCCGCCCTCTCTACCACATCTCTCCACCATTCCTTCTTGCCTTCTCTTCACCTTTGCCATATTTTCATTTTTGTTTTTCTTATTGGAGCTATTCTCGCCCTTCAGTCGCCGTCGTGCCACCACCTGCCGCTGTCGCATCTCAACATACTTCTTTCAAGTATCAAATCCCTACCCCACTCTTTGTTATGTGCAAATTGTAATTTATGAACTCCAATTAAACTTAGTTGAAAACCAAACAATTGAATCGTAACTAAGTGATTTGAAATTTCTAGTAGTCCGATTACTGGTTTCAAAACAATTGAAAATCGTAACTAAGTAATTTGAAATTTCTAGCATACGGATTACTCGTTCCTTGTAGTGAACTACTATAAACCCTATACAAGCCTAGGAAATGATTGATCGGTTTTTGGCTCTAATGTTGAGAAACGACATTGAATTTAAATATTTGATTGTGATTTAGTTGTAGAAATTCTCTCTATTTATTTCATTTTCTAGTTCATAAATTTTCATTATTACATTCCCTTTGTTATTTGTTTTTTATTTTTATGGAAAAAATCATTGTGATTTAAACAAGACTTATAATTGTTAATCTTAGTGTTGAATTATTCCTTCTCTTGGATTGTTAATGTGTTTTACTGCCTATAGACTTTGAAATACAAAAGCTATCCAAAATTGTTATCTTAATTTATTGCCACTTCTCAAGTCATCTTCTTATCTATTTCATTTTTAGTTATTGTGTTTGTTATGCAAACCAAGGTTATATGGTAAGGTTATCTGTAACAACCCTAAATTTCAAGATATTTAAAATAAAGGCTAATATCTTATTAATTCCCAAAAAGAGCGTAAACTAGACATTGTAGTCGGGTGCTATGTCACATCTGAGCTGGAAAACTCAGATGCCCAGGCTAAACTACAACAGTAAACCAGTGCGAAGATAAGACTATTCAGCGCTGCGGTCCAACAACTCAATCCAAAACATTGAACCACTAAGTAGAATTAATTAATATATTGCAAGTACGAGTTCTTCTTCTCCAACAAACGAAGCCATGTCGGCCACTTCTTGCATCAGATGCCTCCATAATGTATGGTTCCATGCACAGTACTTCAGCAACCTACAACTATTCCCATATATAGCCTCATGCTAGCACACCACATCCATCTGGATGAGGGATCGATAACAACTCACCCTCAACAGCTTCAGTCTACATTCTATGGGGCAGGACAAAAGGGTTTTGAGTGTGGGGAAAATAAGAATGAGTCGTATCAAGCAACACTACTGTTTGCTGCCAATCTACCCTCACAAATACAACAACAACAACCAAGTAGCCAAAGTGGTCAAGGGTCACACAGAGGTATCAATAATAAACTGCAACTTCATTTTTCGTATGTTGTAACACATACGAGAAACCTAAGTCGTATATACTGACATGTATTTCAGGCAAAATTTTATTTTAGAAATTTCACAAACTCACCGTTTGTGAAGTTCAATGCAAGATTTGTGCAAGGATGGTGCCGTGTGTGTGCATAAATTGAAGATTCCGATCCCTAAAAGAATTTGAGGACATTTTTTGTGTTTTTTTTGAAAGAGATGTTCAAAAATTATAGCAAAGGGAGTGCTTGGAAAATAAATGATAAGCTATTTTCCAACTAGTTTGACCAATTTTGACTGACCTTAATTAGTGGAAGAGCTTATTGGAAGACCAAATTTATCATCATCGTTCACCATCCTTATAGGTATTTCTCTCTAACCATTACACTTGCATTACGTTTTGTCTTGTACGGATGTAGAGAGTAAACATTATTTCAGGCAAGTAAATTCAATTTCTCCAATGAACACTGAATTTATCATCATTGCTAATTGGCATTTTCCTTTTAGATAATTATACTACATTTTGATCACTTTGCATTACATTATTTAGTCTTGAACGGGTGTAGATTTTTCGAGTAAACCATAGATCTATAAGTGATTTCTACCATTTTGGACATGCAATGTAAGCTCATTTCCTCCCAGGAAGACTATATTTCTCATCACCGTTGACCTCCAAGTTATGAAATTATACTCTATTTCACATGTGTTACTTTTATTCATGCATCGGTATAAAAAAAGTAAACCCTAGATCTGAATGTGGTTCTAGAATTACAGGCATGTGAACTCTTTTTCTGCAACAAAGACCAATTTTTTTTTTTTTTTCATTGTTCAACCGTTATTTTAGATAATTATACTCTAGCTATATCACCTGCATTATATTACTTTTAGTCTTGTAGGGGTACATGGAACAAACCCTATATCGAGACTAATTCAACAACATTATATTCTGTAATTGAACCCGGAGCTTTTCAAAGATAAATGGAAGCTTGAGCTTCCCGCAGTAGAAACAGAGGGAAATATAGGGAAGAAAGTAGGGAGAAACTTTTTTTAGAATTCCAAATTCAAAATCTGCATAATCTGCCAAAACCTTGTGGTCAAGCGATATAATTGTGACTCTCCAAAAAGGGAGGTCACAGGGTCGGGTTCGAACTCGAATGGGGCCAGTGACTCGTGTAGATATCAGCGTGGAGAGATGTTGTGAAAAGAAAAAAGGCAGCACACTAGACATCCAAGATTACACACACTCAGTTGAACGATCACACTTAATGCATAAAAACAACAAAGTAACCGGGGTGGATGACAACAATAATATAAGCCATGCACTTGATTGATTTTGTTAACGGTTGTTTTTTCTTCTCCCTTGACGTTTTTAAAAGAAAACCTTCGAAATAACTCCATCAATCTTCTTGTTATAATATGATCTCCATTTGTTGGACATCAAAAGTGGCACAAAGATTCCTCCTAGCAGACCCGCAACAAATCCTAATGCAACATTGATGTAGATATCAACAAGGAGAAAAAGCTTCCTATTTCATCTTAGATCAAGACAATGTCTAACTTGAAAACTAAATTTTACTTTTAATCATATGATTAATTACCATAGTATTTTTATATTTAGTCATCAATTATTAATTTCATCATATTTATTGTATTTGTTAATTAATTAAAAGGAATATGTCAATTGTTAACTTCATATTAGTGGATCCGTGGTGCAATGGTAGTGCGTCGAACTCCAGATCAGAAGGTTGCGTGTTCGATTCACGTCGGGTTCAATTAATGGTACTACGTTTGACTCCAGATCTGAGCTTCAGACTGCACCCCCAATCCCCATGAGTAGTAATGGTATGTTTTTGAGCATCATATTGGTTATGCTTCATTAATCTCTTCTTCATTTATCATGAAACGAGTATCTTTTTGTTTCCACCCACGTTTGATTTCTTCCATAGTATCCCGGTTACCGTCCATCCACGAATCTGCTTCGACAGTTCGACGATGACGAAGAACACAAAAAATGTCATCAAATTCTTTCAGGGAATCTTGAATTGAAGTACACACATAGAACCATCCTTGCACAAATCTTGCATTGAACTTCACAAACGGTGACTTTGTTAAATTTTTGAAATATATTTTTTGCTCGAAATACGTGTCAGTATATACGACTTTCATTTCTCGTATGTATTACGGCACACGACAAACGTAAGTGACACTTTATTCTTGATACCTCTTTGACCCTTGACCAGTACTTTGCCTACTTGGCTGATGTTGCTATATTTGTGAGAGTTGATTAGCATATATGCAGCAAACAATAGTGTTGCTTGATATGGTTCATTATACTTATTTTCTCATACTCAAAACCCTCTTGTTCTGCCCCATAGAATGTATAGTCACTAAAAAAAAATAGTTATTTAGTGACATACGTTTAGCGGCGGTTTAGTATAACTGCCACCTAATAAATGTTTTGCGATAATTATACTAACCACCGTTATTTAAATGTTAAAACTTAGGTTAATCTGTGGTGGTTGCTTATAACCGCCGCTAAGTATTAACTTAATATTTTAGGCTTATGTTTAGCGCTAATTGATGCATCATGAATCGCGGCTACGGATTAAGTGTCAGACAAGCTCATTTCATCTCAATATATTTCTCCCTCTAAAACCTTTCTGGATCTCTCATCTCATAGCTTTTCTTATTGGAGCTATTCTCGCCCTTCAGCCGCCGCCGTGCCACCACCTGCCGCCGTCGCATCTCAGCACACTTCTTTCAGGTATCAAATCCCTTCCCCACTCTTTGTTATGTGCAAATTGTAATTTATGACCTCCAATTATACTTAGTTGAAAACCAAACAATTGAATCGTAACTAAGTTATTTGAAATTTCTAGTAGTCCGATTACTGGTTTCAAAACAATTGATGGGTTACCAGCAATCTTTGCTGACCGGGTGTTATCCCTTGATTCTACAGGTATTGAGTAGATGCTGAGAGCGCTAGATGTGGATCGCTAGATAGAGTAGTTACCATGTTTAGACGTTACCTTTTGTTGGCCTATGTGCCTAGACGTTTTCTGTTTGTTGACTTGATAGTTTTCCGCCTGTGCACCTATGTTTGAGATAGGTGTGGCATAACACTTACCGATTTTATTTAGCTTCCGCTTTCTTTATGTCTTGATGATTAGATGTTTTCCTTTGAATTTAAGTTTTAAAAATGTGGTAAAAATCGGGGGTGTTATGTACATACTTGGGATGTTAAGAGTTAGGTTTTAAGAATCTAGGCTACAGCTAGGATGGTACTCTAAGTTTGAGACTTTAGGATGCTAAGCTTTAACTCTAGGTGTTTTAATACCTAGGACTTAGGAATCTTAGGACACGCGGTGAGGCTGTGAGTTACCTATCATTATCGACTTAACTTCTCCTTACTCTATTCTGTGTTTAGCTTAAGAATTCCCCATAATTATATCATCAAGGTTAGGATGCAAACCCCTAACTTACCGTTGCAATCAATATTGGCCCTGTAGAACACCAGAATGGCGCTAACAAGGAGTCAGTCAAGGACCCCTGAACCCTCTGCCGACGAATCACTAGCTCAGAACCTACAGCAACTGACTCAGGTCGCCCAGACACTAAGCAACGCCATCCTCCAAAACAATAACCGACCACCACCACCGCCAAAGGGAAACTCAGATATAACTCGACAAGTCTCAAGCCATCGCCCGCCAATCTTCTCAGGAGAAGAAGATCCCACGATCCTCGAAAAATGGATCCGAACATTCGACAAAATCTTCGAGGTAGTAGAATGCCCGGAGGGACGCCGTGTAGAGATAGCCTCATTCTACTTCGGGCACGAAGCCGATCTTTGGTGGGTCCACGAAGGACCTGCATGTAGGCAAGAACCGTGGTTCAACTGGGAATCCCTAAAGGTACGACTACGGGGACATAAGGGCAGCCATGTACGAGGAATTCCTCCACCTGAAACAGGGGATGTCCGCGGTCATGGAATACCATAAACGATTTCTTGAGCTAGCCCGTTTCGCACCTGAATTGGTGCCTACCGAAACGACCAAGATAGAGAAGTTTGTGATGGGCCTCAACTTCGAAGCTCGAAAGGCTCTAATCGTGAGCAAACCCCGAACCCTTAACGAGGCATACACCAGCGCCGCCGACCTCTACCGGATCCAACTTCTACAACGAGGAGTTCAGGAACAAATCCGCAAGAGGAATACTAGAAGTAGGGGACCGCCTGTGAAAAGAGCAAGGAATGACTCTAACACAAGGACGGTTAACCCACCAAATCAAGGATCGTCAATGAGGAACAACGAAACCAACGCAAGACCATTCCTTTGCAGAAGATGCAATAAGGATCATAGGGGCAAGGACTGCCTCGGAAACACCTTGCGATGCTTCCACTGCGGGGGAAAAGGACATAAGGCCTTCCAGTGCACGACCTCGACCATGCACCAACAAGGAAACACGAAAAATCGGGGAAATTACGGGGCACCCAGAAAGGTGTTCGTCATTAGCCGTACCCAGGCCGACCTCGAAGCTGAAGCCAAGATCGACGCAGAGAACGTAGTTCTAGGGGACGAGGACCCCACAAATCAACTGGAAGAAAACCCGAAAGAGGAATTTGCTGTCTTGGATAGACTACAAACCGTTGTAAACTTCCCTTTAGTAGAATCGCTTATTTAGTTCGATTATTTAGAAGTTCTCATACCTTTAAATAAAAGACAAAGTTAATTAATCCAATCAGCCTAATTCCCTCTGACTACCGCCCCTCGGATTAAGTAAAGGACTAACATCCACGCCTTCTATAATTGCCACCCCGGATCAAACGAATAATAGGAAGCCCTCAAAAGCGTAGAAGAGGTGCACCAAAACAACTAATGTATCTAATAAGAATTCACCATTAGACCTCTTAATCCTAAACCAATGCCTTAACCATTGAAACACAATTGTCTCTTGAAACCTTAAGGGGACACAACCTTCTTAATCCCTCAAAATCTCTAAAACCCAAAAAATCCCCAAATAAAAAACCCGTATTCCTCCCACTCTCTCTCTCTCTCTCTCTCCTTCCCTCTCTCCCCGCCACTCCAGCCGAGACACCCCCACAACAGCCGCCGACCACCCGGCCACGACCCGTCTACCAACTGTCCAAGCATCGCTGAGAACCCGCGGTCTCCGCCCTCCGCCGTGTCGCCGGCCACCTGGGCAGAACGACGTCACCACCGCCGCGCCACGCCAAACGCGCGAACCCGCCGCCCTTCGTTGCAGCTCCAGGCAGACGCCACACCACGCCGATGTCGCCCCTCCAGCCAACGCGATGCCCGGACCCCGCAATCGACGCCCCTCACCGCGTCGCACCGCCGCCGCGCTCACCGGAAGTCTCGTCGAAAAAGTCACCGGAAAGACCACCCCAAGGACATCTACTATGTCGGAGAGGGACAATACATCACCCTAAAGGAGGTTTACCTGAAATCCCCCGAAGAACGACAAGTATTGGTGGATCAGTTGGAAATCCCCAACAAGAAAATGAGACAGGCAATGCAAGAATGCGAAGAGCAGGAGGAGCAGGAAGAATAAAGCGAGCCCAGCCAGCCTGAACCCGCACAAGGAAGGGGGAACATGGAAGTCCGAGACGAAAGGTCCACCAATGAGTGCATCCTCGCGCAACTCATGAGGCAGAAACGGATCATGGATGAGGGATTCTCGTCCTTGATTCTCGCAACAAGCTCATTGGACAGGAGAGTGGCGGCAATCGAACCATGTTGGGCACGCGTGGAGCTTCGAGCTCGAGAGTAGGAAACCAAGGTATTCTGGAAATCTCAAACACTACTTGCTACCGACCTAATCAAACTCCACTCTACCCTCATTAAATGACGAATTTGAGCTACATTTCCTTAATCAGGAGACCAAATTGCATGGCATCTAGGGATAAAGGAGTAATCTATGCCTGAGCTTCGGGGACGAAGCTCCTTGTAAGGGGGGAGGGTGTAACACCCCGTGTTATGACCTTTTATCCCGGACTAATCATTTAACCAATCCCGTTAATAATAATTAAAAAGGGTTTTAAAATTGGTTAGGATTCCCTTCAATGAATTAGTGTGGTCCACAATGGACCAAGGACCCTTATCCTTAATCCAAACCCTTAATCCTATAAGAAATAGGATAAGCGGACCCTTACTATTCAGACCCTAGTTGGGACTCCTAAATATATATATATATAGGGACTTAGAAAGCATTTAGAAACCCTACCACAGTTAATTCTACCACACAAGATATTCCCAGAGAGAAACCTATAGAGGAATCCCCATGCCAACAAACGTAGGAGAATCCACGGGAAGAAGATCTTAGAGAAGAACCTTAGTAGCCAAGGATATTGATAAGGGCTAAGAGGTAACCCATGTCTCGACAAAACCTATTTTCCTTGCTATATCTTATTCATTGGCTCCTTTTATAATCGTATGTGTAATTCTGTGTTTGAGTCTTGATAGAGCCTTGCTTAGGGTTTATATTGTGTTTATGTGATAGTCTTGATGTTTATGTGATAATCTTGATGTTCTTGACACTATGATTGATTATACCAATGATCTTGTATTTTGACTATGTCTAGAGCCCTAGGGTTTATATCGTGAAATCTTGTATTATGATGTTCTTGGTATATTTGGGTGGGATTATGCATGATCGGGTGTTGAGTCTAGCCTAGGACTTGTGTTTAGGACTTTTCATATAGATTTCTTGATGTTCTTGTGATTCCAGATGTTCCTGAATCGTTATATGATTTATGTTGGGTCTTGGTATATTTAGGAATCGTGTTAGGATCTACTTGGTGTGATTCTTGATTTATTTCCATTAATTGAGTACGTGGTGTTGTCGTTATGTGTTTAAATGTGTTTGGACATGATTCCGGGTTCCACGAGAGGGATCCCAGGACCGAAAGTTGCCTGTGTATCAGTGAGGGGTAGGTGGGGGGACTAACAACCCACCAACTACCCGCTGCCCGTGTCACTATTCCAGCGGGCAGCCGGCGGGTGGTGGTCTGCCCGCCAGCCACCCGCTGGAATAGCGTGTGGCCGCCGGCGGGTAGTCACCCCACCCGCCACCTACCCGCTTGAAACCGGTCGAGGTTCGTGATGTTTTCCCCCGTTTGATGTTTCCCCGTGTCCTGTTGTACCCCTTTTGTCGTGTGTGAGTCTCGTTTGCTGTTTTAGGTATCGTCCTAGGAATTTATGTGTAATACGTGTCGTTGTTGTTGTGCCTTGATTGTTATTTGATTATGTGTAACACCCCAGATTTTCAAGAAATTTAAAACTTATAAAATAAAAGAGAAATCTCATTAAGTCCCAAAATATAATACAAGAGTGCGGGGTGCTATGCCACACCTGAGCTAGAGAACTCAGGTGCACAGGATAATTAACTAATATCCTCAATAATGTAAACGCATATGGCACGCAGGACGAAAGGGAAACTATCTACTTCTACGTTCCAAGTTCTAGCGCGCTCTAGTGACTTACTCTTCTGTGCCTGAAAGCCAAATATATCTGTTCAGCGAGAGATGATGGTAACCCACTCCAACGCGTTGAAATACAATACATATATATATATATATATATATATATATATATATATATATATATATATATATATAACTACATAGATATACGAAAAGTCATTTTGAAGCATGAGGATATATCCTAAGAGACTCTAGCTTTCAAATCAGGGAACCGACTCGACAGATAGGGGTACACACAATCAACAGTCATAATCAAGCATATACAATTCTCACAAAGGGAACAGTTATTGATAAGCACAATCAATAATCACAATTAAGCATTACTAGTAAGAGCCCTATGGTCACGTTTCCATAATAGTCATATCATCAATTCTTCTCATCTCATCACGTAGCACACTTTGTTGGCGACACAGGACCAATCGCATGCCCATACATGAGAGTCAGCGCATATAGCTCTGACACGGCCCCGCAGCACCCTGCCCCGTCTCACAATACGGAGGAGTCGATCGCAACCGACTGATGAACCGCAGTTCTATATAATGTTTATATACCTGACCGGTCTTTACCAGCCTGATTAACAGTTGGGATGGTTTTCAACCCATTCAACTGCCCGTATAGTGGACCTTTGTCCTATATA